TTATAGGAAACCACATGTAGGAACCCTCTTCAGGATACATGAACATTCCATATTCTTTCTTGGTCATCTCTTCAAATATGATGTAGAAGAACTCGGACTTTACCCCATAACCCTCAGAATAAATTTCGTTAATAAATTCAATCTGAGGAAAGAGAACACTCCCAGAGTTAAAATATAATGCTTTGACCTTTTGTAGAAAAGTTTCAAACCTCCTGCAGTCACCAGAATTCCCAGAATCCCACATCTCTTACTTCACTGCAATCTGTTCTCCCTCAATTTGCTCCTGAGCAGCAGCTGCCAGGAACCTATTCATTGTCCGATTATTGTATACTGAGTGCATGGGGCTTTTAACTGCCACGAACCAAGGGAAGGGGATGCTAGCAAGACTTAGCATTCACCAATTATGTTGACCAGCGTCTTAAACCAAATTTTGATGTGCTTTAATCATCTGGGCCACTAAATCTCCTGATTCTTCTATCTTGTTATCTGTCTTCATTGCATCATTCAGACTTTACAGCTTTGGCCCAATCAACAACTATTCAATTTCTCCTACCTCTCTCCTCTTTAGGACTTTTTTTTTTTTTTTAAAGAAAGCTAAGTAATTTATTACTGTTTTGCCTTTTATTTAGAAGCGTCTCTGGGCTCTCTGCTGGGATTGCTCCAATCATTGGCTCCAGGTGTGCTCTTGTAACGGCGCCATGCTGACTTATTGAATATGGGAAGCCTCTCGAATGATTCACTTGAAAGAGCCTTCAAATTAATTACAGCATCCGTCCCCACTCCTTCCATAGAATAGAGTTTTAGATCTCCTTGGAAATATCTAGCATACAGACGAGAAATTGGCAAGCCATAACCAAATCCAGCCAGAGGGGCGGCTCTTGAAGGCTCCAGGCTTGGTCTAGGAGCAGTGGAATACATGTAGTTGAAAAGATGTTCTATTTTTCGAAGGGGGACGCCACCACCTAGGTCGCTGATCTTAATGGACAAGTCTTCTTTACCCAGAGTAACAAGGGTTTTGATCGCTGGGTAGGCCTCTTTCCTGTCTTCATAGCGTTCAATGGTTGCTCTCATCGAGTTCTTGAACAACTCAAATAGCATGTGAAACAGATGTGAGGGCACATAAACTACCTGAATAGGTTTGCCTGGAGCCTTGGCATTGAATTCTTCAACTTCCAACTCAGGGGCTACCATGTAATACTGTTCACATAACATCTTGGCGGTTTCATAGGCATCTTTCACGACATCGGCCACGTTGCAGGTGGGATCGATACTTCCGATGTGTTTGGGATGAGCAGGATTTGTGTCACCACCAAACAGAAGCGTGTGCTGGTTGATAAGCATGCGGAAGGAGATGCGGTTGGTATAGAAGCGATCCAGGAAATACTGGATGTTACTGCTAGTGAACGGATCAAACCCAAACTTCTCCTTGTATTCAATCACTCCTTGTGCCATGGTAGGAACCACATCGTTGTGTCTATTTCTGACTTGAATAAGAACCTGTAGAAAGTTATCTAAGACCTTTGGGTCCTCAGGGCTCTTATTTTCATACTCCAAAAGTTCAAGGAAGCTCTGCACATACCAACTCTGGACCAATCCCACTGACGGGCGGGTAAGCAAATTATCTGGCAGAAGATTAACTTCTCTCATGGAGTTGGCCAGGCGCACAGGAAGCTCCTTCCGTAGAAACCTGTATGACGTTTTTTCACACGCATTGTCTCTCCCGAAGTCCAGGAACTGCTTGATGGAGAGCGGCGACGGGGAGAAGCGGGAGTAGCGCTCAATCTGCTTGGGCACCCGCTGCTTCAGCAGCCACCGGAACAGCCGCATCCTCGCCGGGGC